ATCACTACCAAGAGAAAAATCAGCGCCGTAATGTTTATAAGTGAACTCAAAATTACAGTTCCAAACAGAAATATAAGGGCTCACCAGATTTGTTGTGGACCTCAGCAAAAGAGCTTAGTTGAAATATAACAATTCGCAACGTTACCAACAATATACCAAAAGAATTAACACTACGAACCTAAGCGTGTGTCTATGATTAACGCAGAAGGTAACAAATTACAGTTAAAATATAAAAAGGTATATTGAGCAACAAAATGGTAACAGTGTTATGAAATGAATGTTACTTGTAAGCTGCTTTCTGAGATAACAACCACAAATAAGTTCACTTGGTTAACAAAGATTCCTCTGCACGTGATGGCACCAACAGCAAAATGGAGAAGATTAGATCCAGTTTCAGTTTCAGTTTCAGTTTCAGTTTCAGTTTGGAAAGGACAGGAGGCTTGGTGGCCTGTGTTAGTCCTGGCAATGATGGTCTCTCAGCTGATCCAACTTTCTTTTGAAGGAGTCGACGGATGGAGCCTCAACCACGTGCTGAGGTAATGAATTCCACTCGTTGATTATTCGATGGGAAAGTCGGTAGTCAGCTGACAAGTAATTCGTTCTGGGCTTGTGAACTTTTTTGGAGTGTCCTCGTAGATTTTCTGTTTTGGAAGACAAGAAAAATGAGGGCATATCAGGTGCAAATTTGTCATTTAGCAATTTGAAAACTATAATCAAGTCACCTCTGATTCTTCTATATGACAGCGGGAATAGGTTTAGCTTGGTAAGTCTAGTACCATAAGGGAGCTTCGCTATTCCGGGAATCAGCCTAGTTGCTGTTCTCTGAACCCTTTCCAAGAGTTCACTGTCTTTTTTTAGGCAGGGGCTAGCTGCTTGTATGTAGTACTCAAGTTTAGGACGTACGAACATTGTATACAAAGTCAGAAACGTTTTAGCGTCGAGATGCCTAAAAGCCCTGCGTATGGACCATAAAGTCCAAAAACCTTTGGCGGCTATTGCACGGCAGTGTGCAGTAGTCTTTAAGTCTTGACTAACGATGACGCCTAAGTCATTGTGTGCCTGAACAATAGGTAACTCAGTGTTATTCATCGTGTATGTATCTGTACCCTGATGGCCAATATGCATCACAATACACTTGGAAGTGCTTATCGGCAATTGCCAGGTTTGGGACCATTCAGATAATCTCTCCAGGTCATTTTGAAGTTCTAAGCTATCGCTCTTGCTTTGTATCGCTCTCCATATCTTGACATCATCAGCATAGAGTAAGACCGATGACGATGGTAGACGAGGGAGATCATTTACGTACAGGAGGAATAACACTGGCCGTAAAACTGTACCTTGGGGGACTCCACTAAGCACAGTTTCCCAGCTAGACAACTTGGAGTTCACCCTTACTCTTTGTTGACGCCCAACTAAGAAGTCTTTTATCCACATTAATAGATTGCCTCCAATCCCGACATTCCTTAGCTTATATAACAGCCGGTTATGCGGAACTTTGTCGAAGGCTTTGCTGAAATCGATGTAAGCTACGTCTATAGGTAATTTTTGGTCCTTAAGAGCGCACCAGCTTTCACAAGCGACTAATAAGTTTGTGAGACAAGAGTAACCTGCTCTAAAACCATGCTGCTTTTCGGAGAGGATCCGGTTTTCATCGAGATACTTTAACAGTTCCTTCCGAATAATCTTTTCTAAGATTTTAACAACCACACTAGTTAGGCTAATTGGTCGGTAATTCTCAGGCTTATGTTTTGTACCTGTTTTGAAGACTGGACTTACTATGGCGTTCTTCCAGTCTTTTGGTAGACGACCCTGGGTTACAGATAGATTAAAACATACACTTAAAGGGTTCGCAACAAAGTTAGCTAATTCCTTTAGTAACCTAGGATGCAGTTCATCGGGTCCAGTGGATTTACCTATGTCAAGCTTAACTAGCAGACCAAAAACATCGAGTTCTTTAATGGTTACGCTGTCCAGTGCTTGTGTGGGTGGGTTTTCATGGACTGGTGAGAAGGGTGTTTCTATGGTGTATACATCGCTAAAGTATTTAGAGAATACTTGAGCTTTGCCAAAGTCATCCTCCACTAGTGATGTGGCAGTACTGTCTCCCCATAGTGAAGGAACATTTCTTCTTCTTTTTGTCCTTTGGTTTATATACGAATACAAGCGTTTAGGGCATTCTATGGATTCCCTTACGATTTTCTCTTCGTACAGCTTTCTGGCCTTACGGAGGGTCGAGGCACAGGTATTTCGAGCCTTTTGATACTGAGATTTCGCCTCGTCAGTCCCCAGTAACCTAAATCTGTCCCACATTTTCCTTCTTTTACGGAGAAGGATGCGAACCTCCCTACTGAACCACGGTGGGGAGTTTCTCGGTCTCTTAGGTGTAGTCCAAGGGATGTGGGGGGCGGTAACTTTTAAGTATAAATTCCGGAATACGTCCCAAGATGTTTCGATTGATGACTCTGGATCTAATTTCCAATCTACTAATGATGCTGATTTCATGATGTCTGCTATGTTTGCTTTCCAGACGTTAGGTCTGGATTGAGCTGAAGCGTACTCGTGATCGACAGTTATATGGAAGTCAAAGCTTAAAACTGCATGATCACTTTTGCCTAGGGGTGGCATGTAATCCAGGTTTGCAACATCATCCTCATAATGAGTCAATATAAGATCTAGTAAGGATGATGCAGAACCCGGGTCGTACCTAGTTGCTTCCTTCACGTGTTGCACTAGAGCACAAGTGATTATCGCATCAACTAGTTCCTGTTCGAAGGAGTTTGCTGACGATTCAGTCCGAAGATTTCTCCAGTCCACCATGGGTGCATTGAAGTCCCCTAAGATTAGACATCGATCACTTCGTGATAAAGTGTTGAGACTGCTTAGCAGGACCTCGTTTGCCTCACAGCTTGGACTGCGATAGATCAAACTAAGTAGTAACTCTTGTCCCCTGCATTTCAGGCGGCAGCAAACTAATTCATACGTCCCACTCTCATGGGATACACTGTCGATAATGGTGAATGGAATAGCATTCCTAATGAATAGAGCTACTCCCCCTCCTTTACGCGTTTGTATTCTATCGGCCCTTACCAATGTAAAACCCTCGAAATCAAGTTCCCTACTATCTATAAACGGCGTCAGCCATGTTTCTGTGACTGCGATTATGTCTGGCCTAGTTGAGTCAATCTGTACACCTAGTTCCGGTAGCTTATTTAGTAAGCTCCGGGCGTTGGTATAACAGATCCGAAGCCTATTTAGGTGGCCTCGTGCTTCACCCAGAGTGGCTTCGGCATCATCCTCTGTCGAAGCCTCACAACCCGAAAATTTACAATTTTCAGGTCTTTTTCGCCAGCGTCTAATCTGAGCTGTAGTTCCTTTTCGGCTTCCCGTCTTTTAACACGGTCCGCCAACGGTAAGTCCTTACGGAGAAAAACTCCTGAACCCTTTAATTTGTGTCCATTTTCTAAGATTAAGTCGCGTTCGTTTGAGGATTTGAAAACGACTTTGAGTAGTCTAGACTGATTTGGTTTCAGATGCGCTAGATTTCCTAATCTATACACCTTTAGCAAGGTGACTCCGGGGATGTTTTTGGGCATAACTTGGTTGAGTAGTTGTTTTATCAACACAATGTCATGCTCAAAACGAGCTTTCGGTTCTAAGTTGTCACTCTCCTTGACTCTATGGAGAATGACTGATCTGTCGCTGTGATCAGACCTCGGCTTGTCGACCCTTTTGGTGGGGGTATGACTTCCTTTTACGTCATTTTGGCGTTTTTTTCTTACGACCCGTACCCAATCGCCAACGTTCTTTGGAGTGGTAACCACATTCGCGTCAGGCGTACTGTGGGATTCCGGAAGAGTCAGGACGACTTGGGAGATCGGGTCATCTTTCGCGCTGGAAACCGATCGAGCCTTGCGGTTTCGGCTTCCTGAAGTTCCCTTCTGGGTACCATTTTTGATACGAGGGACAGAAGAGACTTTTTTGCGCGAGTTTCTGGTTGTAACAGTCCTCTTTGGAGGATGTTCTTCCTCCTTAGTAGAGTGTGGGTCGGCAGTTTTTGGACTCACATGGGCCTGCCTTGTGTCAATCTGCGTGTCGACAGATTGAGTTCTGACTGATGTATCCCGACCGCGCTTGCCGAGACACTTTTTTGCGGCATTTACTATTGAAATGGCCTCGGTTAGCAGGCTATTTGCATCCAAACAGCACTGTTGACATAGCCATACACATCCATTTTTACTAAACCGCTTGAAAGCTGCAGGTGTTAGATTCGTGCAAACATCGTGGTACCAACCTTTGCACTCATCGCACTGCATGCCGCTATCAACAGGATATCGACATCCTGGGCGGTGGCAAATGCTTTTGTTGCATCTTCCAGTCATTTTAAGATGCGAAAGTGAGTGTTGACTATAAGTAGAAAAAAAAAACTATAAACAGTTAGGACCAAAGTACTAACAGACACAATGGGAAAAAAAAGGTACTCTGGAGTACCGACGATAAAACTATTTAGGATACCAAAGATGATACTCTAATAGAATACTTTAACTGAAAGAAATTCAATCAAAGTATAAAAACAATAGTCTTGATACGTTAATAACGATCAAAACAATAGAATTTACTCAACGAGGAAAAATACCACTGTCCTTTTTAAATAGCGCTCCAGTAGTATTATTCAGTAATGATCGGGCCAAAACACCAACGTAGTGTGGAATGGTCTAAAAAGATGTTATAATACTATTATAATCTTCAATCAAAGGCCGTGGCCGTTAAAGCAGAAGAATAGACGGCGGATACAACGCTTATATTTTAAGAAGCGCGGTAGTGAAGAAGTGTTATATATAACCAAACAAAAGTATTCGTTTCTTTACCATTGATACAGAAAAACAATAAATACCGAATATGAGTGTGATTACATAAAAAGTGTGACAACTAGGAAAAATATGTGACCTTTAATTTGTTGTTACAAAAAATCACTAGACATAAATGTCACTTTAAGCTCCATCCTTCGACTCCTTCAAAAGAAAGTCGGATCAGCTTAGAGACCATCATTTCCAGGACTAACACATGCCATCAAGCCTGCAGTCCTTTCCAAACTGAAACTGGAACTTGACCTTGGCGTTGTGCCCGTCTATTTGTTTTGTGCGTTACAGTTAAGTGTGGTAAGTGGCATGCAGCGAGACTATATTTTGTGGACGAAGCAACCAGTTTTAGGATGACAGGTCTCAGATTTTGGCGCAAAATTCGTTCTCCCGTTTTTCCAGACAGCGATTTAGCATTTTAGCTGTTGTCAGTTTGTGGTGGAAACCCCACATCGAATTCCTTACCGTAACAATCAACGGCAAATCGTAATTCCAATTCCTCGCACTGCTTTATAACCCTCACTTAGCCCTAGTAAGCAGATGGGCATTCTGAAGGTTGCTTTAGCGTCGCTCAAAGGTCTTCCATAAATTATAATCTCACTAAAATGTCCTAGTAATGCTTATTCCAATTTTCTGGCTATATGATTCATTTAACAACTTTTAAGTTAGCTTAGCGGTGGCTAGCCATCGGCATTCAGATTTCAGGTGTGTATATTAAAGACAAAAGGCCGGGCAATAGCACTCAAAAACTATAGATATGTTTAACGATCTAGCTTATTCATTTCCTGCTACAATAAGGAACAGTTTTTGTGATTGAGAAAGAGGTCAATAAATACTTTAACAAAATAGACTCGGGGCGAAATTCATTTCATTTTAATTATCCAATCACGTCAAGTGAAATTCAAAAGTATTATAAGACATGTTTTGAATGGGTCTATTTCTGACCTAACTTCTAATGATGTCATATCAGATGCTATGTTCACGATTCATTAGTCTCTGATTAAGTCCTTAGTGGATTTGAGGAAAATATTTCATATGAATAAAATTCTGGCTATATGACAACAAATGTTGCTTTAACTCACAATGCATTTGTTTCTAGTGGAAACCTTGGTCATTAGTGAGCACAAGATCTTAGTGGGTTTAAATATAATTACAGTTCTGATGATCCCATTTCAAATGTTTCTTATTCCCACAGTTCATTCACTCCTAGTCAGCGTAAGAAATATGTTTTTTAAGTGAGTCACATCCTGATCACATTTAACATTTTATTGTGGCAGATGTTGTGTGCTCTAATACCTCATATAAGTCGCATAGCATCCCTATTCAATACTATGATAAGTCGATTGAAACAAGAAGTGTTTGTGAAACAGTTGGAAGACCAAAATACTCAGAAGTCAGTCAGTCAGCTACAATGTAGGACCAGGCACATTTATGCATCGGTCCAAGTTGCCATACCTCGTTAGCACAACAAGATGAACACCGGATTCATAGAAGTAGAAAATTTAAGGGTTATAATATATAAGAGAAAAATTGTATGTAGGAATATAGTAAGGGAAGGAAGACAGATATATGAAGCAATTTCAATCTCAAGGTTTAAGGGAAGAAAAAGAGTATATACACCTACGCCATTGTGATAGATTCTGAGCCATGTCACACAGAGTCTCCAACCATTGGTTACGATAGTCACGCGGACCCCAACCAAGTAGTCTGCATCTACCAACATGGCTCAGACTAGTAGTGTCTTCAAGCACTGATGCCACGTTTTGGTTTGGCCGCCCCTAACTCTCTTCCAACCATCCGCTATACTAGTCAACATAGCGCGTTTTGGTAATCGGTGTTCAGGCATAGGTAACACGTGGCCTAACCATCTCAGTCGATGAAGATTCATGACCTCGTCAACTGATTTACCATCATTCCCTAATACCCTGTGTCTAATCTCACTATTACTTACCAAGTGATCCCAGCAATAGTTCTAAGGCGTCTGTGGTCAAATACTAGTAACTTACGAGTATCTTCTACTCCTAATGGCCACGTTTTACAGAGGTAAAGTGGAACAGAGCAAACTGCTGCACAGTATACTCGTCCCTTAATTAATAGACGAATATCTCGTCTCTGCCACAGGTGACGTAAGTTGGCAAAAGCCAAACGAGCTTTTTGAATCCGTGAAAAGGTTTTGTCAGACACCAACCCATTATGGGCTGATCAGACTTCCAAGATAAGTGAAGTTGTCGACGCGTTCGACTACTTCACTCCCTATCCTTAGTTCGGGTGTTGACGCAGGCCACTTCTAACGTCGCTCCACTGTCTTATGAACTAGTCCAAGTTAAGAGGAGTAGCCTTCTAAGAAAACCACTTGCTTCGGTTTAGGCACATGGGTAGTATCACGGCTCCCACACAAATCGAATGATTTGTATGGCGCACATATATATTTATACGGTGCCTCCCTGTACCAATGTACATGTTGTCAGAGTTTTATAACTACTAGTAATTTGAAAAATACTTTATTATCATTGCGTAACAAAACTAGACTTTATAGACCCCGCTTTATGCTATTCCTCGCTAAGGGGAATAATACTTCTTAACTGCTTCAGTCAAGGTATGCACAGTAAAGTCTGTAAGCTGATAGATTTAGCCATCTCACCACCACGGTGTTGAGGATCTTTTAATAGGATTTACTCGTATAGCTAGAGGATTTGTTCATTGGTTTTTTACAAGGCATCAGAAAAGTTCAGTCTTTTTACCACTATTACTCTCTTAGAATAAACACTTAGACTACAAATTCACCCACTCATTATTAATTTGACGGTACAGTTGTTTTTTTGTATAGTTATATGAAATTTCTGTTCTCTCGTTCATAATCGCATGACTTCTCACTTTTTTGTCACCTGGTTAATTCAGTTTGTATTTGAAATACATAATTACCATGTACACAAGATTGAATACCAAACACTATTTGTATGTTCCTCGATGGAACGCTCCAATGAAAAAATATGTATTCTCATACGCTGCATCTGAATTTGTAAATTTTCGTTGGATTGAATTCATGTCTTTGGCTGAAATGGAACAACTTAGTTATTCTGTTAGTGAATCCAAAGATGATTGGTTGAGACCATTTGTTGTAATCGAAATGGAAAACGATGATTCAGTTTTGTCAATTATTAAACGCAGCGTTTTAATCAAGTCTGCTTGTCGTTTATGGTGTGACGCAACAACCTTATCAGAATTAATTGAACAGGTAAGTTGTGTTGAAATACCTCTGATCTATATTTATTCAAATAGGTTGCCAATCTTCCTATTGAGTTGGTAGATCCTTATTTAAAGGGTTGTGGCACTTTCAAAATAGTCCTAAGTTCTGCACATAAGAAGCTCAAACAAGAGGAGAAAATACCTATAATGAAGGCTATTCTTGATGCCCATAAGGGTATCCGCGTTCCAGTTCCTACATCATCACCAAATGTGAGTAGTTTGTAAGTTATTGTTCATAGTTTTCATGCTTGATGTTCCATGAGTATCTTTTCCTGGTTGTTTTTACTTTAAATCTAGGTAAATGAAACTATGCCCCCAAATGCCCTGGTACGGCTGAGAGTGGGGAGAGTCTACTCTCCCTCTCGAAATCCTCGCACATGGCCAGCGAATATATAGCCTCTGCCAGGGAAGTCCTACTCACTGCCTTCTCGTGGCCTTACTGTTGTTTACGAAAGTGAGAGGACGAAAAGCGAATGTCCGGCGCTTTAACCGGGTTGATGGACACGGAGGGTCCACCTAGGGGAGTTGGAAAACCCTGATTCCAAACCAATGGTGCACATGGGCTACAGGATCCTGATGGAACGAATGGCGGATGAACCTGTCATTGGTCAACGGCTACCATGGGACTGCATCTCCTCACGATGCTCCACTGCCTTGTGGATCAGACCTTTTGGTCAATGGCTCGGGGTGTGGCCCCCTAAGGAAACCACCTGCTTCGGTTTGGGCACCCGGGCAGTATCACAGCCCACACACACAAATAGTGTGGCACATATGTACCTGGTGCCCTTTTGTACCAATATATATGTGTTTAAATAATAAATAAAAATGAAACTGTTACGTGATCTTACAGTCTAAGAGCTACAAAAATTCATAACCATACTGTTGCTTTGTGTATCTATTTATCTAGTATTAATGTCTCTTAAATTTCCCAATTTTTAGATTTCCGTAATCAATGTCAGTCAGTCTGCTTTAATAGAATGGTATTTTAGTTTTATTGAGATCGTTTTCAAGTAAACATTAGGCAACCTCGACAGCCTCATCTGATCTCAAAGTAGACACTTTTCTAAAGTACTACTAGATATTCCTTATTATGCGCTTTCGTTGTTTCTTCAAACAAAGTACACCTTATTCATTGTTGTTAGTGACTAACAACTCTCATTGCTCGGTATTCTCTGACCGTTACACAGTACCGTAAAAAGACTATAAAAGCACTGTAATATCCAAGTGAAGAGCAAACTATGAATAACGTCTGAGAGCTTTATGAACTAATATTATACATATACTTTTATTATATAACTGTTAAGAAACTAAACTACATATATTTATATTCCTCTTACCATAAACTTTTATTTGATCTATTGGCTACTGTTATGTGATCTACTATTCTCAAGTTATTCCCAATCTATTAGTGTGACGGATGTGTATCTGGTGTCCCCTTGTACCAATATTTCTGTGTTCAAATAAATAAAAATAATTAATATATTGGTCAGTTTCTCGCAACCACAGCCACTTTTTGGGTTGATGTTGTGCAAATATTATTTCCTATTTTATGGTGTTATATTTATTTATTTATTTAAACACATATATATTGGTACAAAAGGGCATCAGGTACATATGCGCCACACAAAATAATGAAAGTAGGAAGAGAAGGGATGAAAAGATAAGGCGGATTGAAATGTACAACCAGAAGACTCTTTCAGTTAGGAAAGTTAGAACCATTCTTTATGTAGAATGTAAAAGAAGGTTGCAGCAGGATCGCCACTGGCTTCTATTCTGAGCCATATCTGATAACATCTCTAGCCACTGTGTTGCACCATTTCTCGGACCCCAACCAGGGAGTCGTGAAGGACCAACGGAAGCCAGCCCTTTGCAGCTTTCTTTCATGCCACGACACCATGTCATACACTGACCTCCTCTCCGCTTTTTCCAACCAGTTCCAGGGTCGGGTAATAATGCACGACGTGGAAGTCTCTGGGACAACATTCGTAAAACATGTCCAAGCCACCGAAGTCGGTGTTTCAAGATGGTGACACCAATTGAATTATCGTCTCTGCGCCCGAACACACGATGCCGAACCTCTGCATTACTAACATGGTGTTGCCACTGTATGTCAGCAATCCTTCTGAGACAACGATGATCGAACACAGAGAGACATCTAACATCCTCAACTCGGAGAGGCCAGGTTTCACAAGCATAGAGCAAAACTGCTCTCACCGACGCGTTGTAGATCCGACCTTTTACAGCCAGACTAACATCACGAAGGCGCCAAAGATGGCCCAGATTGGCATAAGCCGCTCTGGCTTTCATTATACGTGCATCAATCTCATCACTCACGCCACCACCAGCACTTATATAGCTACCTAGATACACGAATTTCTCAACTACTTCGATCTCCTCACCATCCAGGGTGAGTACAGGATTAGAATCCTGCCAGTCTTGTAGGAGTACTTTGCACTTGGATGGTGCAAAGCACATGCCGTACCTGCGGACACTGATTGCCAACTGATTAAGTGCTGATTGCATGCCTTGGGCATTATCGCACAGAAAGACAATATCATCCGCATACTCAAGGTCGGGAAGTCGTTCTCAAGGCAAAATATCCACACCGCCATTACTTACATCCATCAGAGCTGTTTCCAGGATGTCGTCGATGGCAAAGTTGAAGAGGAATGGTGAGATCGGGCAACCCTGCCTAACCCCACTGCTCGAATGGAACAAGGGAGAAAGGTGGTTGTATGCCCTCACTCTGCCTGAGGTGTTCGTATACAGGGCCTTTAAGATGTTAATGAACTTCTCAGGCACACCCTTCTTCAATAGACAATCCCAGAGAACAGTCCTGTCCAACGAATCGAAGGCCGCCCTGATATCAAGAAACACTACGATAGTTGGCCTGCGATAAGTATGACGGTGTTCTAACATTTGGCGGAGGGTGAAGATGTGATCAATGCATCCTCGACCAGAACGAAAACCAGCCTGCTCCTGGCGAGTCAATCGTTCTCGGGTTTTAAACAACCTACGAAGAATGATAGAAGCGAATCGTTTGGACGCAATCGAAAGTAGACTTATCCTCCGATAGTTATTGCAGGAACAACGTAAACCCTTTTTAAAGATAGGGACGACTATTGACTCGTTCCATGATGTTGGAACACTTTCTTGTTCCCAAACCTTTCCAAACAACACAGTCAATTCCTTAGTCAGAAAGTCACCACCATCTTTAAAAAGAGCCGGAGGTAAGTCATCTGGGCCCGGTGATTTGTAACGTTTCAAGAGTTGGAGTTCCTTGCGGACTTCCGCCTCGTTTGGTGGATCAGTCGTCACCGGCCATGGAGGGAAGGACAATCTGGTCGATGTTGCCGGAGCAGCAGGCCAGTTGAACTGCCCTTCGAAAAATTCCGCCCATCGTCCAAGACGTGGACAGATGTTAGTGATTGGCATCCCGTCATCCTCGTAGATTGTTTCACTCACACCAGACTTCTTGCTGCCAGTGGTTCGGATGAGTTGGAAGAGTTTCCGGCAGTTACCAGATGCAGCTGCTGCTTCCATCTCATTAGCACGCTCCGACCACCAGACTTCCCGGTCCTTACGCAATCTTTGCCCGATTTCATTACGTAACAGCCTTCGTTTGTGGTCAAACTCACAGTCACCCGGAGTAGACCGACGGGCTTCGATCAGTTGTAAGGAGCCAGAAGAGACCCAGTACTTGTAAGCGGGACGTTTCGCGAAGCCGCAAGCGGCTTTACTCGCCATTTTCATGGCGTTGTGAAGATGCAACCAATGCTCATCTATACTTTTCGGTGGGGTGGTAGCTAGCCTAGAAGCTAGCTCCGCTCGATACTTACTTGCAACAGATGTTGCAGCCAGTTTACTAACATCGATCCGTTGGTGGTGGTCAGTCCTTCGGCCACTGGAAAGTAAGGTGAGATTGGCGCAGACCAGGACATGATCAGACTCCAGATAGGTACTCCAAAAGGAGCAGCAGTCTTGTACACAACCACGCCAGCGGTAGCTGATCGCGATGTGATTAACCTGAGTCCAGGCTTGGGATGCAGAGGGAGGACGCCAGGTGGCACACCGGCGATGACTGTGCCGGAAGTTAGTGCTGACCAGAAACAGGTTGTGGTCTGTGCACAGTTGCAGCAAACGGTCCCCGTTATCTGTCCTGCGACCAACAAGTCCCCATCGGCCACCTAAACGACTCTCTTCTGTGCCTAGACACCCGACCTGTGCATTCAAGTCTCCGGCTAGTACTACAATATCTGTCGAACGCGCTTTCTGGAGAACTGTTAACTGGTGGTAAAACTCATCCTTGATTGCATCCGGGCTGCATTCTGTCGGGGCATAGGCGGAGAGGACGAAAAGACACCGTTTCTCACGCCAGTTTCTTCTCACTTGGATGGAACTTTCTAATGTAACAGCACATAACCGACTGTTAATGGGGATCCAATCGATTAGTGCTGCCTCAGCCCTAGCGCTTAGTGCGACACCAACGCCAGCAAGACCATACGAAGATGCCACAGGGTCCCCGGATAAGCGCACGTGGAACAAGCTTTTCGAGGCGACAGATGGAGAGCGGATTTGTAGTACTTCACTAGAGTCTTGAATACGGATCTCGGATAGACAACAAACATCAACATTAAGACATTTCAAAGACATAACCAGCCCTATCTGTTGTCTGATCTGCATTAGTGTGCGAACGTTGAAGGATTTTTATTTATTTATTTATTTGAACACATATATATTGGTGCAAAAGGGCACCAGGTACATATGCGCCACACTATTTGTGTGTGTGGGCTGTGATACTGCCCGGGTGCCCAAACCGAAGCAGGTGGTTTCCTTAGGGGGCCACACCCCGAGCCATTGACCAAAAGGTCTGATCCACAAGGCAGTGGAGCATCGTGAGGAGATGCAGTCCCATGGTAGCCGTTGACCAATGACAGGTTCATCCGCCATTCGTTCCATCAGGATCCTGTAACCCATGTGAGTAGACTCCCCCCACTCTCGTCCGTACCAGGGCATTTGGGGGGCGAACGTTGAAGGAAGCCAGCTTGAACGGCGTACGTGGTTTCAGAAAGGCTGCTTCCGTATTCGTAATCGGTGGAAGCATTCACTTTCAACTAGACAGTGACTGGAGATCGTTTAGATAGAACAGAGTTTCCACCAATGGCGAGCTACTACATAAGTTGGAAAGGAAGGATACACAATTTGGGAATAAAGGGAGTGAAAATGCGACGTAGTAAATAATAATAATAATGTAAATTCTCTTGCTTCTAATATGAGCAGAAATAGAATCGTCAATAGAGTTCATCATTTCATTCATTTGTGTGTGGGCTGTGATACTGCCCGGGTGCCCAAACCGAAGCAGGTGGTTTCCTTAGGGGGCCACACCCCGAGCCATTGACCAAAAGGTCTGATTCACAAGGCAGTGGAGCATCGTGAGGAGATGCAGTCCCATGGTAGCCGTTGACCAATGACAGGTTCATCCGCCATTCGTTCCATCAGGATCCTGTAGCCCATGTGCACCATTGGTTTGGAATCAGGGTTTTCCAACCACCCTAGGTGGATTCTCCGTGTCCACCAACCCGGTTAAAGCGCCGGACATTCGCTTTTCGTCCTCTCACTTTCGTAAACAACAGTAAGGCCACGAGAAGGCAGTGAGTAGGACTTCCCTGGCAGAGGCTATATATTCGCTGGCCATGTGCGAGGATTTCGAGAGGGAGAGTAGACTCTCCCCACTCTCAGCCGTACCAGGGCATTTGGGGGATTTTATGGTGTGATGTGGTGTGATTTTGCTTGTATATAAACCAAGTATGTTTGAAATATATGATTCGATATAACAGGTTGATATTTGTGTTCTGAACTGAGTCTGCTGGGTTAGGCGAAAAGTTGCTATCTCAAGGACCAACAGGAACTCTAGAATGCTCGTACTGGTTTTTGCGTCACTGGCCCAGTCAATGAGTTGGTGACTCTAATTCCCAATCGTATTTCGTGATATATTAACAGGGCACAGAGGCCACAAGTTATAACAAACACCTATTTAGCTGATTAGCAGTGTCGCTAATATAATGACTAATTGGATAATTATCTCAAAGACTAGGTCTCTAAATCAGTAAAAAGCGTGTTTTTCAGACACGATTGATGAACAACAGCATCCATCTGACTGGTCACAATCACTGATTGTCCCAATATATAATAAGGGGTCAAAATCATCCTGCGATAACAATAGAGGGATTAGTCTGACTAACATAATATCTAATATACTAGCCTCAATAATTATCGGGCGCCTAACTAAGACTCGTGAACTCCAAACACGAGAGAATCTGGCTGGCTTCAGACCTGGTCGTGGCTGCATCGACCATATTTTCACTATTCGTCAGGTTTTAGAGCACAGATATGTTTATCGGCGTCCGACAATGATAGTTTTTCTTGACTTAAAAGCAGCATTTGACTCTAGACCGAGAGGCTCTGTGGCAGTGTTTGTCATTGAAAGGTGTACCTCAGAAGTACGTAAACCTTGTGAAGGCTCTTTACTCGAACACTACCAGTCGAGTGATAGCTTATGGCGAACTGTCATCTGATTTTACAACTTCAAGTGGTGTCCGACAAGGTTGTCCACTATCTCCATCTCTGTTAAACTTCATTATAGACCTATTGCTGGAAATAGCACTCTCTTCGACTGAATTTTCAGGAATTGGTCTCTTACCAGGAGGTCCACTTATGGACTTAGAATACGCATATGACAGTCCTGTTTGGTGAAGACGATGACAAAATGCAGAGTGTTCTGTTAGAACTGAGTAACAATGTCAGGATATTTGGAAAGCGTTCCTTTCCCTCTAATCGTAAATTATTACTCCAGGACTGGCCTGCGTCAACACCTGAACTAAGGATAGGGAGTGAAGTAGTCGAACGCGTCGACAACTTCACTTATCTTGGAAGTCTGATCAGCCCATAATGGGTTGGTGTCTGACAAAACCTTTTCACGGATTCAAAAAGCTCGTTTGGCTTTTGCCAACTTACGTCACCTGTGGCAGAGACGAGATATTCGTCTATCAATTAAGGGACGAGTATACTGTGCAGCAGTTTGCTCTGTTCCACTTTACCTCTGTAAAACGTGGCCATTAGGAGTAGAAGATACTCGAGTGCCTTGGTACGGTCGAAAGTGGGGGGAGTCCACTCTCCCTCTCGAAATACTCTCATACGGCCACGCTTATATAGCCTCTGCCAGGGAAGTCCTAATCACTGCCCTCTCGTGGCAGTTATTTACGAGAACGAAAACCGAATGTCAGGCGTTTTAACCGAGTTGGTGGAGACGGAGGATCCACCTACAGTGGTTGGAAAACCCTGATTCCAAAACAACGGTGTACATGCACTCCAGTATCCTGAGTGAACAAATGGCGTATGAACCTACTATTGGTCACCGGCCACCATAGGACTGCATCTTTTGACGTTGCTCCACTGCTTTTTGTGGATTAGACTTTTAGGTAGAAAGCTCCGGGTGTGGCCCTCTAAGAAAACCACCTGCTTTAGTCTGGGCACCCGATCAGTATCATAGCCCATGGTAGCCGTTGATCAATGATTGATTCGCACGCCATTTGTTCCTTAAGGATACTGGAGCCCATGTGCACCACTGGTTTGAAATGAGGGTTTTCCAACTCCCCTAGGTGGACTCGCCTTGTCCACCAACCCAGTTAAAGCGCTGGACATTCGCTTTTCGTCCTCTAAATTTTGTAAACAACAGTAATGCCACGAAAAGACAGTGAGTGACCACAGATGCCTTAGAACTATTGCTGGGATCACTTGGTAAGTAATAGTGAGATTAGACACAGGGTATTAGGGAATGATGGTAAATCAGTTGATGAGGTCATGAATCTTCATCGACTGAGATGGTTAGGCCACGTGTTACCTATGCCTGAACACCGATTACCAAAACGCGCTATGTTGACTAGTATAGCGGATGGTTGGAAGAGAGTTAGGGGCGGCCAAACCAAAACGTGGCATCAGTGCTTGAAGACACTACTAGTCTGAGCCATGTTGGTAGATGCAGACTACTTGGTTGGGGTCCGCGTGACTATCGTAACCAATGGTTGGAGACTCTGTGTGACATGGCTCAGAATCTATCACAATGGCGTAGGTGTATATACTCTTTTTCTTCCCTTAAACCTTGAGATTGAAATTGCTTCATATATCTGTCTTCCTTCCCTTACTATATTCCTACATACAATTTTTCTCTTATATATTATAACCCTTAAATTTTCTACTTCTATGAATCCGGTGTTCATCTTGTTGTGCTAACGAGGTATGGCAACTTGGACCGATGCATAAATGTGCCTGGTCCTACATTGTAGCTGACTGATTGAAATAACAGTTTAGTTGTTTGTGAATAGTGAATTCCCGATCACTACCAATAGTCTAGGCTATTCACACATCTATCTTTCGAATTTTTTTTTCATTATGGTTCTAGCCTCAGATCAACATTCTTCTAGAATACACCCCTAATAACCTTGGAAAGAATACAGTTAGTTCTGAGGGTCATTTGTGTCGACTGCTATACGGAGTGTTGGTTGGAAACAGTTTAAGAAGAAATATAATGAACGGCTCTTGTCCATCTGAAATATCTCACTCACGCAATAAAAATATAAATGTGACAGTAGCAGCAATAATGGCTAATGTGGGACTTTGTCAAAAATCGTCTTTTGTTTGGGATCCTTTTATTCGTCCTGGAAGTACAGTAATGGCAGCTTGTCTAGATGATTCTTCCAGTGGTGTTTCAGATATAGATTGGGCTGTACGTACTGCATTAGGACCCGACGAATATGACCAGTCGATACCAATGTGTCTCCTCGACATTGGAGCTTATCCAAAAGTTAGTCAGGTGGGTTACTTTTATTTACTGCATATTATTTTTGTAGTATACTAACACACTTACGCCTGTTACCCCTCGTTGACGAGCATTGGCCGCATACCAGTATTCTGCATCCAACCCTGTCGTGGGCAAGCCTTTCCAGTTGTTATCCATCATTTCCATATCTGCTTCTATTTCCCGGCGTAATATGTTCTTTGGCATTCCTTTTTTCCGCTTCCCTTCCGGATTCTAAGTTAGGGCTTGCGTCGTGATTCAGTTTGATGATTTCTTTAATGTATGTCCGATTCACTTCTAACGTGTTTTCCTAATTTCCTCTTCAGCTGGAAGCTGGTTTGTCCTCTCCCACAATAGGCTGTTGATGATGGTATCCGGTCAACGGATATCGAGTATCTTACATAGATAATTGTTTATAAATACTTGTAACTTTTTTATGATGGTTGTAGTAGTTCTCCAAGTTTCAGCTCCATACAGTAGAACTGTCTCGACATTTGTATTAAGGATTCTCACTTTGAAATTAATTGACAGTTGTTTTAGTTCCATATGTTCTTCAATTGTAGGAATGCGGTCCTTGCTTTGCCAATCCTCGCCTTTACATCTGCATCAGATCCTACTTGTTTATCAACGATGCTTCCCAGGCACGTGGATGTTTCCACCTCTTCCAGAGTTTCTCCATCAAGTGTGACTAGGTTGGTGTTCTCTGTGTTGTATTTGAGAATCTAGCTTTTTCCTTTGTGTATGTTGAGGCCTATCGATGCAGAGGCTACTGCTACATTTGTTGTTATGGTCTGTATTTGTTTATGTGTATGAGATAGGAGGGCTAGGTCATCTGTCTAATTGATTCTGAGAAACTGGCAGGGAGATAGTGTAAACCGGAGAGACCAGTCAAGGACAAAAAAGGAAAGACAATCACGGAGATTGAAGAACAGAGGACAAGATGGGCAGAATACTTCGAGGAACTGCTAAATATCCCAGCTTTCCCACTCTTGATTTGTCTGTTGGTCATATTGACTTTTTCGATTGTTGGTGGAGTTAAATCTATAGGAAGGTCTGTGTGTACTGCTTCGATGTCCGGTGGATTCAATGGAGCTGGGCTATTACGTTTAGATGATTTTCTTTATATGTTCAGATAGATTTCGAAAATTTCCTTTTTTTAATAGAAAAAACGGCGTGGTGGAAGATTACGATGGAATTATGATCAGTACAAGCTGTCATTACGTTATTCAAAATTCATGTGGGTTAATATGGAAAAACTACGCAAATTTGTGTGTTCTTTTATGCAAAATTTCTTCGATGCAATAATAACTGATCAACCATATGCATTTCGTGTATGTAGTTGTAAAGTTACTGATCAACCAGTTGAACGTAAATTTACTCTTGTCATTAAACATCGTTTAGCTGAAATTATGGGCAATATGCATATTGGGTACGTTTCGAATTCATGCTTATTAGTAATCTATAAATAAATAATGTATTTGCAGATATCCCAATGAATAGAAAAAACTTAGATTTTCTAACGTTTCGTTACTCAGTGTAAGCCACTTCTTCAGAGAACAAATAACCAAATTCACATTAATCCAAGGTTAAGTAGTACAACGGGACAACACGAATATTAGACGATCAATCAAAAAACAGGTCTGAATAATTGATTGAATGATTGACTTATTCAGACCTGTTTTTTGATTGATCGTCTAATATTCGTGTTGTCCCGTTGTACTACTTAACCTTGGATTAATGTGCATTTGGTTATTTGTTCTCTGAAGAAGTGGCTTACACTGAGTAACGAAACGTTAGAAAATCTAAGTTTTTTCTATTCATTGGGATATCTGCAAATATATTAATTTATATATAACAATCTACCCAATGCTCAATTTATTTAAAATTATCAAATCCAAACTTGGTAATGATACCTACTTATTAGTAATCTATTTAGAGGCTAGTAAATTTTATGTTACAACACTTTCATTTAAAGCATATCAATCGTTGACGGAAAACTTTAAACGTCATAATCACATTTCTTTTCTTTTTGCATGATCTGCCATCTTCCACAGAAAACACTTTTGTAAAATATGCGGACGACCTCACCGTATGTATGCCAATTTCTACCTCCTTACATCCTATAGAAATGAATGAGTATTTATTTCGTATTGAAAGGTGGTCTGTTGGTAATGGTCTCTTACTCAATCCATCTAAATGTCAAGCTGTTAATTTTAGCTTGAGACATGGACAGAACCTATACTCTATGTTGGGATCCCATAATGCTTGTGCCATTGGAGACTCCTTAATAAACACAGTGTCGAAGGTCAAATATCTTGGTGTTACTTTTTCCTCTGATCTTTCTTGGTCTTCTCATGTTTTGCTGTTATCGAAAAAAGTTTACCGTTTGACATACTACATAAAGAGGCTGCATGCTTTTGGGATTACTCGCCATTTACTCTTACACTTTGTAAATTCCTGCATATTACCTATTATTTTATATTGTTCTCCATTATTCTTTCCTGGGCTTTTGAGAAAAGACTTTGCTTTTTTGCGTAGAGTGCTGAAGGCGGTTTGCAAGGTATGTGGTGAGTCTTTTGAAGTCATTGTTAATATGCTTGTGGATAGACATCTTAAGTGTTGCAAACTCTTGGCAGGTGTTATCTTATCAGATACTAAACATCCCCTTTATTCATATCTTTCTCCTTGTATATCTTCTGGTAGAACGAGACGTAAATACATTAAAATCCATACACGCAAGCAAATCTATAAAAGTTCTGTAATACCTTACTTAGCTAATTTACTTTGTGACGAACAGGCTGTTAGAGTTGACCTAGTAAATAACCTGTCTTCTTAAGCATGTCTCAAATTCGATAATTTGTATAAAGTCGGTTTTTCCTAGACCTTTTTTATATTTTATTTCTGTTTTTTGTTGTTGTTTTTTTTTGGTTTTATTTTTTGGGAAAAAACTTGTTGAAATAACTCGTGCTGAGAATTCTATATTGTACCAGATTATAATATAGAATAAAGCCATTAATAATAATAATAATAATAATAATAATAATAATAATAATAATTACTCGTTTACTTAGTGTACATTTATGTAATCAGCTTCAAGTCACAATTTTTCGTAAGGACTAGTGATACTACTGAATAGTTGAGATTGAACTGAAGTTTTTTCTTCAAAATTTATTTAAAATTCGAATGTTTTATCCAATAATGCAGCACGAAGCAGGTGGTTTTCTTAGAAGGTCACACCCGAAGCCTTCGACCTAAAGATATAATCCACAAAGCAGTGGAGCAACGTCAGGAGATGCAGTCTCATGGTGGCCGGTGACTAACACTTGGTTCATACTCCATTTGTTCCATTAGGATACTAGAGTGCATGTACACCGTTGGTTTGGAATCAGGGTTTTCCAACTCCCTTAGGTGGGTCTTCCGTGTCCACTAACCTGGTTAAAGCACCGGACATTCGCTTTTCGTCCTCTCACTTTCGTAAACAACACCTCCTCCACGAGAAAGCAGTGAGTAGGACTTCCCTGTCAGTGGTTGTATACGCGTGGTCATGTGAGAGCACTTTAAGAGGGAGCTGACTCTCCCCACTCTCGGCCGTACCAGGGCATTTGGGGGCAGATTTCTATTATTTGTCATTAATTCATAAAGCATTTTATCTTTTACTAATTCACTGGTTAGTTATACTTGGAAACTCTTTATTTCTCTCATATCATTTAAGATTACAAATCGTTTATTTAATTTGAAGTAGATATACGTGAGTGTCATTAAATGACTCTCATCATTCTTGATTAAAATCATCTGTAATATTATTAATGTAATCCATGATAGACGTTGTTATAACTTGTGACCGAGTGGATGACTTGTTAGGGTATAATGTAATGAGACTGCCAATCAGAGAGCAGCGAATTATCGATTGGAACAGTGATACACAGAAACCGTACGAGCAGTCTAGAGTACTTGTCGGTCCTGCTTTTTGCCTAGCCCAGCCAGTTAAGTGCAGAACACCGATAACAACCTCTATAATATGAATCATATGAATCAAATGCCCTGGTACGACAGAGAGTGGGGAGAGTCCGCCCTATCTCTCTAAATGCTCTCACATGGCCACGCGTATACAGCCTTTGCCAGGGAAGTCTTACTCACTACCTTCTCGTGACATTACTGTTGTTTAGGAAATTGAGAGGACGAAAAGTGAATGTCCGGCGCTTTAACCGGGTTGGTGGACACGGAAAGTCCACCTAGGGGAGTTGGAAAACCCTGATTCCAAACCAATGGTGCACATGGACTCCATTATCCTAAGGGGACAAATGGCTTACGAACCAATTATTGGTCACCGGCTACCATGTGACTGCATCTCCTCACGATGCTCCACTGCCTTGTGGATCAGACCTTTAGGTTAAATGCTCCGGGTGTGGTCGCCTAAGAAAACCACCTGTTTCAGTTTGAGCGTCTGGGCAGTATCTCAACCCTCACACAAATCAAAGGAGATTTGTGCGGCGCATATATATCTGGTGCTTCCTTGTACCAATATTCATGTGCTAAAATAAATAAATAAGATTGTTCGACGGTTTAACCGAGTTGGTGGACACGGTGAGTCCATGTAGGGGAGTTGGAAAACTCTGATTCCAAACCAATGTTGTACATGGGCTCCAGTTTCATGATGGAACAAATGGTGTATGAATGAATCGTCGAACACCGGCTACCATGAGACTGCATCTCCTCACGATGCTCCACTTCTGACTGGTGTAACATACTACTTATCTACCACCATAAGTAGCATACACCACAATAGTAGTATTATCCAAACTTGTTAGAGTTCTTTGTCTTTGCACTTATAAAGTCAATAGGTTTACTACACATTTGCAAACTCAAAATTCAGGTTATTTATCTCTATCATTTTAATAAACCTTATATATTGGTCAATGGTATTGTCAATATTTAGCATTTTTTTATACTTGTACAGTGATGAAAATGTCAATGAGAATAAAGATAAAGTTGACGGGGTATCTTTAGTTGCGGTACCACATGACTTACCACACTTTCCACACAAAGTAAGTAAACCTTTTGTACATATATGTCTTATAACGTTTAAACCGGAATTTCATCTGTATTTAAGTTTCACTGTCTGTACAGTTTGTTTTCTTTAATATTAAAATAACTCATAATGTCATTGTATAAGAAAAAGAGAATTCAGCGAAGAAAATTTTTTCTTTTCGACGAAATCATTTACTTAAGCTGTACATTCGTATAATATAGTAATATGGATAATATATGTCTTCTATAGGAGGCTAGAAAAGATTGCATTATAAATGGATTCGACAATAAATAACAAATGAGGTGACGTACTAATCAAGGGGTAAGGAAGAAAATAATTTATGGGTCAATCAGATAATGGTTCAATTGACAGATATACGAAGAAAAGCGACAAACACAAAGGTCATAATAATAATCTGAGTAATAATCAAGAAAACTTGTATAAGGTAATAATAATAATAATAACTTATACGAATATTCGTCAAGGTTATAACGAATAGTTTGACAATAATTGAGCGCCAAGTATAGAGAAGTCATTATATGAGAAAAAAAGTTATAATTGAAATAGTCATAGCGATTGAACTATAAATAATTCCAACGTTTCGTCCAGCTAACTTGTGTGGACTTCTTCAGGGAAGCAATCAAAATCAAAATCATCGAAGGAATATACATAGTGTTTTTTCCTTAACAATCATTTCATCAAAATCTCTACTACTTTTTAATTCAATCATATTTGGAAGTCGAAAATTTTTCTTGTAAACAGGATAATATGAGTGAGTTGAATGAGAATCAAGTGAAAAGTTCAACGATGTTAATTAAAAGTGGATGGGTAGATTGTGTGTGTGTGTATGATGAGTTATTAATGAGTGATATTCAGTGTTGATATGTTTCTATGTGAAGTAAAAATAAAAGTGCAAAAATGAAGGTTGAAAAGTTGTTTCTCAATCATCGAAATTGCAAATAAAATGAGAATCATCAAGTACATAATTGTACCCTAATCTTTCCGATTACTGCTTACACTCTTACTACTTCTACCACTATGGGATTTGAATCGACAACTGCATCTCTGTGTTAATGTGGTATGGCGAGTCGAACTGGTGAACGTACTTACGTACGTACGAAGTTCTACGTTGTGACTGATTGACTGAGAGTTGAATAATTTATCCATCAACTTACGTAGACATGATGTATTTAGTGAGAGCTTGCTTAGAAAAGATATAAATTATACAGCACAATAGTTCAAGTTTCATACTGTTGGACTACAAATATGTCATAAAGGAGCAAATGTTTTTGATAAAACATTAATGATAATCACACTGAACTTATAGTTAATCTCTGCCGTAAACCGAACTATATATCAGTTGACTAAATATATATTACATAATCAGAAATATCATTCTTATCGAAAACATTCAATCAAGACAATGTTGAATCTGTCAAAGAATTTAGTTACATGGTTGAGATACGCGCGAAACCGAAGTTTATAAAACACAGATTTGTCTAAACAACTATTCTGTACATAAATTAGATACAGACATTAACTCGAGGTGTGGTCCTGCAAGAAAACCACCTGCTTCAGTTTGAGCACCTGAGCAGTATCACAGCCCTCACACAAATCAAATGAGATTTGTGCGGCTCATATATATCTGGTTCCCTCAACTTGTGAGGTATCTGTTTCACTTGGCGCATCTGTAAGCCTAAAAGTAAAGAAGCTTTCTGCAATATCAACATAGATAATAATTGTGACTTACGATAGTTTAAATAACAGCTGATAGCTGTGTCTAATTTTGATAACAGTTTATCAACTAGCAAAAACAGAACCAAGAGCATACAAGCATAGAAACTGCAGTGTTTAAACAAATAATAAATAATTATGTAGAAACTCAAAATGAGTGCTATAGGGATTGTAGGAAAGTAATTATGAGGATTAATACAATAAATCTTATAAGTATATATATATATAATTTGAAATGTTACGCAATAAACTTGCGCTACAACATACCCATAGAAACTACTGGAAATACAACTGTCTACTGAATATAAATAAGTAGTATAAAACAATAAGCAAAAGAGTTCAAGAGAAGAGAATAAGGGCAGAGAGTGTAAACAAATTTAACAGACAATTTCATTCAGTCACTTATTCGACAAATACCTTGATTATGCACCCGGTAAAACATCAATATTACGAAATAATCAGTTAGCCTGTAATTTTGTATCTGCTGAACAAAATATTTACAATAAAGTGAATGAAGCTTAAAAGTTGTGCTACAGTTTTTTCGTTTGTTTTGTATTTATCATTATATATTTATTAAACATTGGCACAAGGAGGCACCAAATAGATATGCGTCACATGAGCGCTGGAATATTGTTCGTGTACCGAGACCGAAGTAGGCATAATACAATTAAATAATTTTGTTGTTCATATATTTCTATTTATTCAGGAATTATATCCAGTTGATAAAATCTATAAAGATCTAATGGATGTAGCAAATCATCTAATACGTCCTCTTGGACGTTTAGTATTTTGGGTACGAGTATTACGGTCAGAATTTATTGGTGTAGAATCTTTACCTCGTCATCGTAATTTTCGTTTACTTGCAGCTTGTGAACAGGTAAGTAAAGTATTTGTTGTGAAAAAATTATGAATCTATCTGAGCTAGGCCAAACATGAAGCACTAGACGGCCATTTCATCCTAGTTCGAAATTACATATCCACGATCACGCACATAGTTCTCAAACCCAGGATATTCGGTCTCGCGCACCACTCAGTTCTTCTAGGTTTTCAATAGTGATCTAGCTTACATTGACTCACAAATTCAACTGTTATAATCAGATTAACAATAAATTATTCCACGTTATTTATTTGAACTTTTGAATATTCTCCGTTTATGCTATGCGAATTACATAATGAATTGAAATCTCATTACTTCCGAAACTGAAAATTTCAAGCTCTAGTGAATTACTTCTGTATTTTAATACTTTACGGTGTTTAATTCGTGTATTGAAACTTTCCTAAACCTCAATCTATTATACAGTAGTAATCTAATTTCCATAGAAGTCATCCATTGCTAGCAAGTTGTGTCCATATTCTCCACCGAACCAACACAACTAAATTCATTTAGTATTGTTTGTTTGAATCTTCCCATTGATGTTTTAGGACTGCAACTGGTCAGTCTCTAATTGGCATGTGCGCATACTGTGCTTATTGCTTCGATATAGCCTTAATTCACAAGCATAATAAGCTGAAGAGTCCCAAATAGGACGAAGCGTGCGTCCTGGATTCCAATGCTAGCCATTATCCATCTTTGCATAACACAACTAAGTTCATAATAAGCATTTTTTTGTTATATGCTAACGAATCAAGAGTTGTATTTCTAAAATTTCATGAATTATTATGAGCCACTTCTTCGGAGTAAATAAATAACCGAATGAAATAGTACAGAGGAAACCTGCTAACAACTAAACTCCTTGCTTTAATTATAGTACACTAGTACATCGTTTGTACTATGATCTATGGTCTCTCAAACTGGATACATATGTACTACTAACAATGAACAATGTTATATTCATCTTCTTGCTATTGATTACCTTGATTGTAATTCATAGAATGCTTGTAGTTTCTGTACACAAAGACGAGGCTATTCATAGCTACGCACAACTTTGAGCTTTCAGGACTTTTTTGGAACCATACTAAATGAAGTTGATGTATAGTTAAAAATTCTGTTAAAAACGTCATATTTAGCTCGTAGCCTTCTAGAAATTTCTGAGAACCTTCTACTCAACGCTGATCGGATAAAGCGTCTTTGAAAAGGTTTTATTAGCTCTTTTGAACTTTCCCTGAAGGATATTTTGAAACAACTTAACTCCAAATATATCTAGATTTATTTCTAAACTCAATATTATTCACTCATTGGTTTAAGCATAACTGTGTAATGGTTCCTAGTTTTGTTACTTTTTTTTTTCTTTAAAATATTCATATAGATTTTAAGTACTCGCTACTCAAGGTATATGGTAGTAATGATGAAGTATGATGATAAACGTTATTTAGATTTCTTATTCAATGATAAAGAAGATTTAATATTTCCAGCGGTTTATGGCAAATAATTTTCTGATGAACCAATTACCCCTTATATTTCTCCGGTGAAAAATGTCATTGATTTTTGTATATTTTGAATATAATTAACATTTTTATGTTTATTTTATTAAAGAATTAATTAATGGTACAAAGGGGGAACCGAATACATATGCGATAAACAAATCTTATTTGTGTAAGTGCTGTGATAATACCTAGGTGCCCAAACTGAAGCAAGCGGTTTTCTTAGGAGGCCGCACCCGAAGCCTTTGACCTAAATGTCTAATCCATAAGGCAATGGAGCAACTTCACGAGATGCAGTTTCATGGTAGCCGGTGACCAATAATTGTTTCATACGTTTTTTGTTCCTTCAGGATACTGGAGCCCATGTGCATCATCGGTTTGAAGTTGTGGTTTACCAACTTCCGTAGATGAACTTTCCGTGTCCATCCGGTAAAGCGCCGAACATTGGCTTTCCGTTTCTCAATTTCGTAAACAACAATAATGCCACGAGGAGGCAGTGAGTAGGACTTCCCTAGCAGAGGCTATATACGCGTGGACATGTGAGAGCATTTGGAGAGGGAGAGCAAACTCTCTCCACTTTCGGCCGTACTGGGGAATTTTGTTCAAAAACCATTTGCCGCAACCAAAGTGAATGCCAATTTCTTATAATCGTCCTGTAATGAGCACCAACAAAAAAGAATGACTGTCCGAATTAGCCGCAGCTATTTCGATCTATCAACTGAACTACACCTGCAGAGAGACTTATATAGGTCATACAATTCGATAATTCCGTTATCGCAGAATATGATTCTTTTCAGTAAAACGGTCCTATTCTCGCTCATTTAATGGGAACAGGACACCAAGTTGACATGAAAACAGTTTCTACAACCAGCCACTGTACTTCATCAAATCTACCAGATGGCTTAAGGTTCTTTTTTTTTACACTGGAGCCATCGTAATGCACATTCAGAAGCCTAAACTTTGTATCCAAAAGAAGATCGGATACTCCATACTTAGATGCATAGATTATTTCATAATTTAGTGTCTCTCTGTATTCTATGTGAAAAAATTATATTTGAAATGATTTTCAGAAAATCAACACATTCAGATAGATACTTAGATTTTTATTCGGCTCATGCTTTATGTACGAAAGTCACAGTTGTTAAAAATTTAATTAACAGAAGTCTTAAGCTTGTTACAGATAAGGAAGACCAACAATATGAATTGAATAGGATTTTATCTACACTTAGGGATAACAACTACCCAAAAGAGAAGATTGTTAGAAAGGAAAGAAAAGCTAAACTACAATGTGTACAGAAAGATTGGAAGTCCACTGTAGTCATACCATACCGTAGTGAAACATCGGAAGAAATCAAACGGATCTTAAACAAGCATGATATAAGAGTGTATTTTAGAACATGTGACACTATAAGATCGTCATTGGTGAAGGTTAAGGATAGGTTACCAAAGGAAGAACAACAAAATATTGTCTATGAGATCAATTGTCAAGATTGTAATGCGGCTTATGTTGGAGAAACATCCAGACAATTGAAGGTAAGGTTGAAGGAACACAATGTTTAAAAAACGTTCCCAAAACTTCGGTTGGCCTAAGGAAACTTGAGAATAAGTCTGCAATAGCGTTACATGCGTTGGAAACGGGACACATGATTAATTTCGAAGGGGCCAAAATACTTCATAAAGGTTTCAACACTCACAAAGAAAGATTGACAGCAGAAGCGCTGTATTTATGGGCGAATAAGAACAGCCTAAACAGAAAGGATGGTATTCAGCTAGCTACCATTTGGCAAATATTCATCAACAAGTAATTTGACATTTTCTTCTTTTATTCAACCTGTTTACTTCACATGAATCGTTATTATGACTGAAATCAATATGAGTTATGTTTAGCATTACAATTATGTACATGATGATGATTCTCATTTTATTTGCAAATTGATGATTGAGAAACAACTTTTCAACCTTCATTTTTGCACTTTTATTTTTACTTCACATAGAAACATATCAACACTGAATATCACTCATTAATAACTCATCATACACACACACACAATCTACCCACCCACTTTTAATTAACATCGTTGAACTTTTCACTTGATTCTCATTCAACTGACTCATAATATCAGAAGGGGTTTTGTGGAGATTTAGTATTTATCATATTTGAAAGCGTGAGTCAATTGAAACTAGACCACCATGGAAAACCTGGAAACACTGATAATTATTATAATCATATACTCACTAGTGACTTCGAGATGTATATCTAGGAGCTCTAGTGAGAAGCAGTGACCAGTGGAGTTCAAAACCACGTTTGTTGTGAGATAGGAACTCACTGAAGACAATTGGTGAATAGTTGTTCAACTTCGTGGATCAGTTGAAGTTAGACATTAACACCGTTGGATGCCAACCGGCTCAGTGGTCTATCATTTAAGTGCTCTGGCGCATGACTGGTAGGTCCTGTGTTCGAATCTCGCGAGAGCGGGTTCGTGGATGCGCACTGCTGAAGAGTCCCATAATCGGACGAAACAGCCATCCAGTGTTTCCATGGTGGTCTAGCTTCAATTGACTCACGCTTTCAACTATGACTCATATTATCCTGTTCACAAAACATTCAACATCCAATTATGATTAGATTAAAAGTAGTAGAGATTTTGATTATTACCCTGAAGAAGTCCAGACAAGTTAGTTGGACGAAACGTAATTATTTAAAAATTTCAATCTCTGAGAATATTTCAAATATAATAAGTTTTTCACATATAATGACTTCTTTATACTTGGCGCTCAATTATTGTCAAACTATTCGTCATAACCTTGACGAATATTCGTATAAATCTCTCTGTGTTCCTTTTTCTTTAATTCCTACTGACATAGGAATATAATAGTCAAGAAATATTACTTTACAATTAGTTCCTCACTGTAGTGTTATAACAAAGATTAAGATCAATACTAAATAAATGGTTGTGAAATGATTGGATACATACATAGTATAATAGTAGTAAGCAGTTAGTAATTCAACGGATGTAACCAAGATAACATAATCGGTAAATTACTAGAACTAATTAATTAAGAATTGAATCAGTTTGTAAGTAATGAGCCGAATAAAAGTGTGTTCTGAGCCGCTATGTTAGATAGCATAGGAAGCCTAACAGTCCTCATTTCATTGTGTATATTTACTTTCACCAACAATGTAATATATCCCCACGAAAGAGTTAGTTTACATCACACCCAAGTTTCACCTTTAAATACACATGAGCTGTGAACACTATTATTCTGCTTTTGACAATGACCGGAATGGGTAAAACATAAATATAGGCACAAAACCAATGCCTATAAATATGAATCACTATTTAAACAACCTTCAGACTGAGGAATGTTGTATAAATTAACAAATGTGGTAGTAAGATTTTTATATAGACTGAATTTACTCAAACCACCATCCTATAAAATGAAATGTGTGATTAAGGTATTTTAATGCGAATATAGTCGTCAATCAGCTACATCGTAGGATCGAGCAAATATATGCATCAGTCCAATTTGCCGCATCTTATTAGCACCACAAGATGAATACAAAGTTTTTAGAAGTGGTTACTTCAATGGTAGTAATATATAAAAGAAAGATTTTGCATAAGGATGTAATACGGGAAGGAATAAGTCAGTAGGAAGACATAAAACAATTTTAATTTCACAATTTAACGGAAGGCAAAGAGTGTATACATCTACGCCATTGTGATCGATTCTGAGCCATGTCACACAGAGTCTTCATCCATTGTTTTCATTAGTCGCGTGGACCCCAAACAAGTAGTCTGAATCTACTAACAGGGCTAAAACCAGAAGTTAGTGACTTCAAGCACTGGTTTGGTAGCTCCTAACTCTCTTCCAACCATCCCCTACACTAGTCAGCAATGCGCGTTGTAATAATCGGTGTTCAGGCACACGTGGTCCAACCATCTCAGTCGATGAAGATTCATGACCTCAACAACTGATTTACCATTATTCCCTAATACCCTGAGTTTAACCTTATTATTACTTACCTGGTGATCCCAACAGATGCAAGCAATATTTCTAAGACATCTGTGGTCAAACACTAGTATCTTCACATAGAGTGCGCACATTGAAGGCTTCAATGTATATTCTGGAGCGAGGTTTCAGTAGACTTAGGACAGTGTTTAGCGCACTAGAATCGTTGGCCATGGTGACAGTTGGAGGAAGTATAAATTTGATGTTCGATGTAGGATGGATAATGATCATTGATTAGTGCAGTGGTCTTGAGTGCTGTTATAGGTACGAGGGCGGTTATCACTTCCCGGTTGCCTACACTGTGGAAGGGTACTTCTAGATGTAGCTGAAAAGAAAATTGGGTTCAGGGTGGTTTTAGTGATCTGAGAGCCTGACCAGTGCCCATGGAGCAACTACTAGAAGTCAGTCACACACGACCTTTCTGTGAGTAATTTTTGCGTTAGCTCCGTACTTGTTGAAACCTTACTGCCGTAGAAAGAAATACATGAAATAAAGCGAGGTGTGCATTCTTATGGTCGGCATTTCATGACCCCACCCTTCCTTGTAGGAAGACAACGTCGCTGTTATGCTGATTGTCTGAGAGTGGGGAGTTAGTTCTATCTCTTGAAATGCTCCCGCATGGACACGCGTATACAACCACTGACAGAGAAGTCCTACTCACTGCCCTCTCGTGGCATTACAGTTGTTTACGAAATTGAGAGTACGAAAAGTGAATGTCCGATGCTTTACCGAGGTTAATGGACACGGAGGATCCACCTAAGGTGGTTGGGAATCCCTTATTCCAAACCATGGACTCCAGTGTCCTGAGGGAACAAATGGCGTACGAATCAACCGTTGATCACCGGCTACCATGGGAATGTATCTCCTGATATCGCTCCATTGCCTTGTGGATCAGACCTTTAGGTCGAAGGCTCCAGGAATGGCCTTCTAAGAAAATCACCTGCTTCGGTCTGGGCACCCGATCAGTATCATAGCCCACACTTAAAAGGGATGACATATGTGGCACATATGTATCTGGTTCTTCCTTGTACCAAAATTAATGTGTTCAAACAAATAAAAAGTACTTTAAAAGAGAAAAGTACTCAAATATTTTATTGAAGATCATATTTACATGAACCTTAAATGATAATAATCATCATTAGTTTTGTACAAATCACCAAGAAAGTATATAAATAGAAAGAGTTTGAGAAAGTATTAACCATTGAGTATCAATAATATAATATTATTATTAGTATACATAGAATATTATTTTAATAAAGAAATAAGTTTCTCTTCATATTCCGATGGGATATCAATTGAAGTTATTGGATCCATTGATTTCTGATATTCAATTAACAATTTTTGTTTTCGTGACTATAAAATGGGGAACATTGACAAGTAGAAATACACATACAAACATAAATAATGAATAAAATGTATTTTTATGGTTTGCAATACAATTGAGCAGACATATATTTAACATTAATATACTGAACATCCAAGCCCCCAAATGCCCTTATACGGCTGAGAGTGGGGAGGGGTCTACTCTACCTCTCGAAATGCTCTCACATGGTCACGCGCATACAGCCTTTGCCAGGCAAGTCCTTCTCTCAGCATCAATGTTGTTTACGGAATGCGAATGTCCGGTGCTTTAACGGGGTTGGTGGACACAAAAAATACACCTAGGGGAGTTGGAAGACCCCCATTCCAAACCAATGGTTCACATGGGCTCCAGTATCCCGAAGGAGCAAATGGCGTATGAATCAATCGTTGGTCACCGGCTACCAAAGGATTGCATCTACTCACGATGCTCCATTGCCTTGTGGATCAGATCTTTAGGTCAAAGGCTCCGGGTATGGCCCACTAAGTAAACCACATGCTTGGGTCTGGGCACCTGGGCAGTATTTCATCCCTCACACAAATCGAATGAGATTTGTGCGGCGCATATATATCTGGTGTTTCCTTGTACCCATACTTATGTGTTTAAGTAAATCAATTTAATAGTTATCGATAGTTAAATGCTAGTGCGTTCCGAACGCATGAAACAATGACTAAAATTGAGATCGGGAAGTTACTGTTCTACCAGTCCATTCAACATTCTAGTAAAACTGAATTACAAGTTGTCTACATGATGTTGTGCCTTCGATAGCTATATCTTTCATGCCTAATCTTTTCTGCTACAGGTGAAACTGTTACTACTTCTACTTCTATTGGATCTCAATGTGTTTATATATTGTGACAGATTAAACGGATGCACATATATGCCAAGTTCTACATTGCTTATGAATGAATGACTGAACAGTCTAACCATACTTCAAAAATGTGAAGTTTAAAATAATAATAAAAAGTATAGCTCACACTATTCTACTATAATCTCTTCTAGTCAATATATTATGAAAACCATAGCTTTGACAAAAAAAGTCGTTAAGAAAGTACAATCTTCATACACATACATACCTTTAAAACTGATGGTGCAATATCGCTAATTTCTCTGTTCTTAGATATTGATAATAAAGAATGACAACTATCCGTATATTCTTTATTCTTATCTATAGAATCAGATGTTGACGCTTGCTGATGAAATTCAGGTATGATAGTTTTAGCACACGATAAATTACTATCAATTGGTGTGATCACACATAATGGAATCTTTTCATTGAATACATTTTGGACCTAAATTTTTAGAAAGAAAAAAAAAGAACATTCAGGAGAATATCATACTGCTTGTGTGATTTGTGCTACTGATGTTAACTGATATAAGTAGTATGTACCACCAATCGAAAGTGAAATGCCTGGAGGTAGAACGTTAAGACGAACAAGGAAAAAGAATGAGAATATTGAAGTCTGAGATGATTGACTGATGTTTGCAAAAGGAACAGTCAAGTTTGAGACAACTGATTGACATTTTGCTGACATTTACTGTATGGTTCTTAGATTTTACCAAGAGATTCTGTAATTTTTTGTTGAAATACCTTTGATTGTCCCCACTTGTGTTCTTGTTCACTATAATTCTAATAATTTTACATCAATAGGATGGAAGAAGAGCGCAAGAAGCTTAATGATTGGATACATAGACGATATTTCAAATGAGGTTAATTTACAAACAATTATCGACGATATTTTAATCAACTTACCATCATATTTCGAGAATTCACGTTTTACAAAACGAAATTTAATTAAGTAAACGTCAGTCAGTGGTCTTGAGTGCTGTTAGAGGTGGGAGGGCAGTTATCACTTCCCGGTTGCCCACACCGTGGAAGGGTTCTTCTAGAGGTACCTGAAAAGGAAATTGGGTTAGAAGTTGTCTTAATGACCTGAGAGCATGACCGCAGTGCCCATGGGACAACTGCTTGAGGTCAGTCACACACGACGTGACATAGTACGTCTTAGGAAGTGTGTACAGTTCATTTTTCAGCCCTGAAAATTTTAAAGGTGAACAAGCTAATCGAAATTATACTTTACATGTAAAAATAACTTTTCCTATCCGAATGACATTATCTTTTACTCTTACGCAATTAGTATACGTTGCCAACTAATCGCTTGATTGTCCTTTATCACTATAATCATTACTGTTTAATGCGACGTAGGAATATTAGCAAACAACCTCAACTTTATATGGTAATTTCATCCTTCACTGGTCGTCTTTATTCTTACAATCAGTCATCGCCTAACACTAACATTATTAAGTCAAAAATTCTGTTTTGAAACTTCGCTATAGTTAGTATTATGTAGTAAATCTTAAAATCTACATAAAAGGGTGGAGCTGTAATAAATGGCAATACGAGAAAAATAATTTCCTCGCCTAGTTAGTATTACTAGTATATTTACTGTCTGAACAATATACTGTAGATTACATTTGTTTGGATAACATTTTGTCACATAAGATACACTTTCAAAGGTCTGATCGGATTACTATTACGTGAGTGGGGGAATAATTGAACAATTCAAAAGTAAGTGATCAAATTACCCACATAGAATTTAGGTTTCACGAGGACACTCCTCTGTATAAAGTCAGTAACTAATTGTTGTCTTTTATCTAACCCGAAATCTGTATTTTTGTACTCGCGAGCTTCTCCATTTTCGGTCATTATTATTATTATTTAAAGACAAATATTGATACAAGGGGGCACAAGATATAACGTCAGTCAGTCACAACGTAGAACTTACTACGTACGTATATCAGTTCGAGTTGCCATACCACATTAGCACAGAGATGCAGTTGTCGATTCAAATCCCATGGTGGTAGAAGTAGTAAGAGATATATATGCGCCACAAAAATATCATTTGATTTGTGTGAGGGCTGTGACACTGCCCAGGTGCTAAAACTGAAGCAGGTGGCTTTATTAGAAGGTCACATCCGGAGCCTTCTACCTAAAGGTCTGATCCACAAGGCAGTGGGGCATCGTGAGGAGATGCAGTCCCATGGTAGCCGGTGACCAACACTAGGTTCATATGCCATTTGTTCTATTAGGATACTGGAGCCCATGTGCACCATTGATTTGGAATCAGGGTTTTCCAACTCCCCTAGGTAAACTTTCCGTGTCCATCAACCCGGTTACAGCGCCGTACATTCGCTTTTCGTCCTCTCAATTTCGTAAACAACAGTAATGCTGAGAGAAGGCAGTGAGTAGGACTTCCCTGGCAGAGGCTATATGCGCGTGGCCATGTGAGAGCATTTCGATAGGTAGAGCGGACTCTCCACACTCTCGGTCTTACCAGGGCATTAAACTAGACTAATAAAAGAAAATACTGACCTTAAAATCTTACATTGAGCGTAGTTGGCACATATCACCCTTACCGTATTCATAAGGAATTGATGCAAAAAACATATCGACCTTAATAGTGTCAACTTCACAACCTGTTCAAACGATAACCTGGAGAAAATTCTAGTAGTTGCAATAAAACAGAAAAATAAACTACATCTGATAATCTTCATTATCCAACATTATATATATATATATATATTATATATATATATTAAGTACGAAACAAACTATAATAAATTAGCAGAAATAAATCTGCTAACCTCTAGGTTAAATAACGAAAACCAGACTACGAACGTTGATTAAACCCGATTTCTTAGGGTTTTCATTGTTTTAAATAGCATAAAAGCATCAGGTCGAAACAAAATCAAATGGAATTAGGTTAATGGACGATGCATAGTCAAAAAGGGTGAAGAGTGAGTGAATTTGTGTTATTGATGATAATATCTGTAGCTAACATTAATTAATATATTCAGCTACTAGCATCTGAGTTTATGAAATTATCGTGGAACTACATCTCATTTATTAGCGTTAGTTTTAGTTTGCGTCAGTAGGTATCAATTAAGTACACTATTAACTCGTGATTTTTAAACGATCGTATCCCAGGATTAAACTCACCTCAGGAGAAGTGATTTGTAAGGATTCTTGGGAATTAGGGCCATCAGATAGGGACGGAGTACCACAATGCAAGGTCATGTAACTTTCGTTGTGTTGTATTGACTGGTAAGATGTTTTTGGTTTTACATGTTTGGCATCAAAAACCCTTGACCGTACCTGGGGAGTTAGACGAAATAATCCAGCTAAATAACCAGGACCTTTAAGAGCCATCTCCCGATCTAATGATTTCTGAATATGATTGACACAGTTCAGAACGTCGAGAGGGCACTTTTTGTTTTCATAGCTCTTTATATATAATACATTATAAGCCGTCATTTGTGCACTATCAAACAGAAAAACAAGATTATTAAATATGAAACTATAGAGAATGGAACTGCATCGTACTATATATATATATATATATATATATATATATATATATATATGACACCTTGTACCAATATTTATGTGTTTAAATAGACAAATAGAAACAAATACGACGCAAGTTCATGTCAGTCAGTTACAACGTAGAACTTCGTACGTACGTACATCAGCTCGAGTTGCCATACCACATTAGCACAGAGAGGAAGTTGTCGATTCAAATCCCATATTGGTAGTAGTAACAGTATAAGTATTATGTGAATGATAAGGGTTTGAAGATGTTATTGAAGGAGTATAATACGGTGAAATAAATTTGGAAAGAGAAAAAAGGATACGGATATGAAGAATTCAGAAGATTAGAATTTGGTAGAACACACAAAATAGTCTAGTTAATAAACCAGGACGATTCGGAAGCTTTTCACAAAATAATGGTTTCTCAATATGAATGACAGTCTAAAACACTGAAAGGACAGTAGGTTTACTATTCTATATAATCCTCTATATTCAATTGATGAGTAGTCATTAATTGTGTACCAACACAAAAGAAAATAAAACTGATACATATGCAACTACAAAAAACAAAATAGCATCGTTTAAGACTCTTAGAATGTGGTTAATGAAAGTTATGTTACTTAGGTTACAGAGCTGCTTTGGATATATACTTAACACTTGGCGACTCTTGGTTTTTATTTCCAACAAATGAACCAAAAATCAACTGCGAAGTGCTTGAAAACAAGTATGACTGGTCATTTGGTTACTGAATCCTTAAGCGATCTGATGTTTAATGGATAATATGAGTTGTGTTTTACCTGATAAATTGGCATATGACTCTATTCTAAACTCCTGAGAAATTATTCAACTCAGTCTCAAGCATCAGACGGATGAATATTCATAACAATTAAATGACTTTTTTGTTAATGCTTACTGGTTTGTATAGTAAATGGGGATTTAAAGAACTAAACCAACAACCCTAAACATCATATATCAAGAAGGCAAGTTATTTTGTCTCAAGTTTACATTGTAAGATATTGTAAGACATTCAAGCTCAATTTGAAACCTGAAAGAGAATGGGGACGCCTTTCAATGTCTACCACAGCGACTTGTCTTTCGCATTATGTCCCCCATGACGTTACTTATCGTGACAGAATATTCCAGTGTTTCTGTCAAAGACCAAGCTGATCGAATATTAAGATTCCCATAAGGATTTTTACAAGCAATAAATCGTACTAGCGTGATGCTTAACAACTAGGTTACCTTGTAAAGTTTAAGCTGTACAATAAATTAAAGATTTAAATGACAGTGTATGTAAGTGTATAGCTGATAAAAACAAGTAGTTATTAAAACGTGAAAACATAAATTGGTAAGTGTAACTCCACACTCTTTTATCCCCACCTATTGTCCAAGAAAGAATAAGGGATTTCTGTATATTTTTGTTATTACATGACTTTTTCTTGAAATATTCTACAATACAGACTGTAAATATGGGAGTTAAAATGGTGTTTTATATAATTCAGGTACATACTGCGAAATCTCATTAGGTAGTCAATGATTTATAGAAACACTTCCGAACTACGTGACTTTAAAACACAGAAAACCACCTAATCCTGCTTATTCAGTATCAACTAGGGCTATTTCAAGTAAGCATTAAATCCATTATCAGAGTGCATGAGACTTCTCTCCACCGCCTGCAACAATAGTTGATTTCATATGGCCTATATTGTATTTTGACACAAAATTTGTTCATATGTACGGTTATATGGGGTCTTTTTATTTAATTTGACGTGAGTTAGCAACTCAAACCATAAGTTCACACATTTATAACTTTATTTTGAACATTAAAATTGATTGAATCTATATATGCATATGCAAAGCCACTTTATTATTCTTCATGTATCATCTATAAATTATGGTCTTTCCACAGTTTCCTAACTATATGTACTATTCTAATCAACCAACCAATAATATTTACACAAATGTTATCTGTCTAAACGTTACCAAAGCTACGGAAACCAAGACCGACTCGAGCGCTAAAAGCACAGCCGTTGAAAAAAGTGTCTTAAAAATGTTCAATCAATACCGAGATAAACAAACAAATACTGCCAGACATATAGTTGTTAAAAAGATGAAATTACGTTCATAAATGCACGGAACAAGAGTAATTCAGACTCATTATCAAGTTTTGGGGTACTTAAAGAGCTAAGCTCCAATAAAAATTCTGTCGACTTGGTAGATAAATAGACCAGTCTTAGGTCGTAAAATACGGGAGATATAACGCATCTCCATTTTTTACATGCTTTATGGAATGCTTATCTGACGCGCTTTATCTATAAGCCTAAGCTGTTAGGTATTCAGTTTCCACTAGTGGACCTATTTAGAATGTAGGCAAACAACCGACTATTCAAGGAAAGGGAAATTAACTCATTCTCTCAGATTACACAATAGTTTCGTCAAGTCCAGTGGAAATCGGTACTGACATATCCACTGTTTTAAATTTATTTAGATGACTTTCCTCAATTTCTTTGTCCTGGATCATTAAATATTGTTGACATTATCAAGCTTAGGAGAAAAGTTTACAACATGGATAATATGATTCAGTATCAAAGTTGAGTGAAAATAGTTGTGTTATTTTCAACACTTCAAAGCACGAGGTATTCCCCTTCAACGTCTTGAGAACCACACAGAAACCTAGAAGCGCCGCGAGTTGAAGAACAGGGCATCTTGGCACCCTATGGTCCCAAATCATACACCAACTCTGGCAAAATGCTTCCACAGAAAGTGTGTTGGTGGTAACTTTAATAAACATCTTCGGCCATTTTCGAAGAAAGGCTTTCCATCGTATATTTGACCAGTTATGCTCGGTTCCATTTACAGTATGGAAACATAATATTTACTTCCTCACTCTAGAGAGATTCAGATTTACATACTGAGCAAAGAAAACCGACAACTTGTGTTAGCCTTTTTCTGGTAAGCTTTTGTGAGAGTATAGCCTTCTTTTTTATTGAGTCAGTCCATGTTATGGACACCACTTCTTAGGATAAATGTTTCCAAGTCTTGACGACTTGGCTGTTATACTAGCCCCTTATATCCTTTGATTCGTCCTGATTTGGTGCGAAGAAAGAAAGGGAATATGTCAGATCCAGCATTATTTAAGCTACGCTTTGTACTCTAACGAATATGACCAAGCTGGTTTCTAAAAAGAGGCTTTCAGCCTTCATGCAGTTCTCAAGCTTAAAAAAGTCTACTCAGAAGTGTATGCACTAAATCATTTCAGGAAATCAACATCAAGCTCTGTGGATAAGGCTTGAAATCGCTGGATGTTTGGAATTAGAAAAAAGAATACATGAAGTGAGTTTCGGATGAATTAAATCATCCTAAACGCCGCCACACATCTTTTAGAAAACCAAGCTTTAGAGCAGTATCCAGAAATTAAGCATTTAGACATTTCTCATGCTCTTAAAAATTGATGATGACTTCGAATTCACTTTTAAATTAGGTGGTACATGTAGCTTTAGCTTTTTTAAGAGGAAACTTGGTGTTAATTTTATTAAACATGAATTCCGAATCACTATACACAAAATATCTCATTGCACGTATTAACTCATTCACGTATTCACCCATATCACACCCTCGAGAATTATGACAACTGTAATTGAGATACTCTCACTCACTTCAACTTAGTGGGTCATTTGTTTAATATATGTCTTATCAACGCTAGATTGAGTTGTAATAAAAAGTCGGTTTTAGCCCTGTTTGTATCCACTTATCAACCATCACTTATCATGATATCTAAAGTATGGACTAGCATTAATATTTCCTACCTAAGTATATCTCTTGATGATCACTTCAAAATAAAATTAGACGCACTAAATCTGAAGGGGGAAACATAATTATTAGGCACAAACAAGTATACAAAGGTCCTTAACTATTTAGTGAATACTTTTTTCCTCATTAACTAACGAAGAACCACTAAATGAATCAGGACCGATCCCAGCACCTTCCAGTGAAATTACTAATTTACACTTCCATGTACAGAATATTTCCAACGCAATTAGCACACTGAAACACCCCTACTTTAACGGACCAGATAGTATTCCGTCTTGCATGCTGAAACGTTAAAATGATGACCTGTATGTCTTACTTCTCAAATTATTAACGATATCTCTCTCTACAGCACGTTACCCTACTGCCAGGAAAACTACATATATCATTCACAAAATTAAGACCTGAAGCACATGTTGAAAATTACCGACCCATAAAGATAACTTCAGTGGTACCTAGAGTGATGGAAAAAGTTGTCAAGGCGGCGGTAGTACAGCATCTACTGCATAATAATCTCATCTCGACCTCCCAGCATGAGTCTGTTAGGTCCAGATCATGCGAATCATGCCTAGTAGACAACACGAATGATGTGATTCTTAAACAAAACAACGAACTACATATATAAGTCTTACTCCTGGACCTTGAAAAAGCTTTTAATAGGGTCCCATACAAAAGGATTCTCGACAAATTAAGGTCCTTCAGAGTCAAAAACCCACTATATTCATGGTTTGCTTCATTGTTAACAGAAAATAAGCAACTAATTAAGTACCATGACTCTCTCAGATCACCTGAACCAATAACTAGTGGAGTTATCCAGAGAAATGTATTACGTCTACTCTTGTTACTTATGTTTATAAACGATATATGTAACACCATAAAATTTGGGAGTCCATACTTATACGCTGATGATCTCAACATAGCAAACAGTTTTAAGCCTGAAGCTCCAAGTGAAAATGTTTCCCAGATCCAAAGTGACCTCAACAACCTAATTATCTGGAGCGAAAATGCCATTACCATTTAACCTCAACAAGTGCGGGATCATGCATTTCATAAAACATCTCTATGAAATGAAACTTCACTTTAATCAAAGTAGAGTTCAGACACTCAACTCAGTGTGCGCTCTAGGTATTATTACA